GAAATGGCATCGAGAGGAGTAGGGTTAGAGATGGAGAAGATGAGCGTGGAACAGCTTAGAGCCCTAAAGGAGCAAGCCGATCTAGAATTCAATCTCTTTCAAGACAGCCTCAACAACATTCGTACCGCCACCGCCCGCCTCGAAATCGCCTCCACCGCCCTCTACGACCTCTCACTCCGTCCCCAAGGCATTACTATTATTATTGCTGTTTACGAAAAGTAAATATAAAAAATCTCCTGTTTATGTGTGCATATTATATTATTTTACTAAAAATTGTATTTAAAAATTTTGGGGGTTCAGGGAAGAAAATGCTGGTACCTTTGACGGCGTCGCTTTATGTTCCTGGAACGCTGGATGATTCAGAAAAGGTGCTGGTGGATGTAGGCACTGGTTACTTTATTGAGGTTAGTCCTAAATTGCTATATAGTGCTTGGAAAATTTGAGAATCTGTTCGCTGTTATTCTAGTTTTCCTGATAAAATATTTTTCTGTTTGGATATCTAAGTAAGTTTAGCTGTTATATCTTGAAAGTCATGCATTGGTTAGATGTTCATGCTGATTGCTAAGCAGGGGTGAAATAGTTTAAACTATATTTTGTTGTGACACCAGGCGCCTCCACCGAAAGTACTGTTGTTTGATGATTACAAGGGTTGGGGCTGCTAATGAGAATATGTTGTAGTCCATCACCTATTACACTGTGATACCTGAAAAACATGTAACTAGGTCCTTTTTCAGTGTTAATAGCTGAATTTTTTTAGAGTGGTATCAATCTCACATCAACAGTGCTCTAAATGAGCTATTTGACATTTGAACCAAGCCTTTCAATTTCATTTCTTATGTAAACTTTCATTGGACACAGTTTTCTCTCATAATTTCTCTGCCAATTCAAAAATTCACATTTGGCGAGCTATTGGAATGGCAATGCTTGTAAATCAGTAAATGCTAGAACAGAGGACTAAAGTACTAATAATCCAATTACAATCTGATAGAGGGCTCCCTTGAGTAGAATTTATGATAACCACCTCCTTGTGTTGCAACCCTTTGAATTAAGAACATCTTCAAGCTCTTCTCATAAGCCAGGTGCTAGGCAGGCTTTCAATTGCCCCA